CAATACGATCTTATTGGACCAATTATTTGATCCCTAATTGTAGCATTACTTTATGCTAGATTTAATTACATCATATAATATGATACCTATCATATAGTATGATTATTACATAATTTGTATTTCAAAATATTGCTTAATTATGATTGGCTGCTAGGATCTTAATTTCAACTTATCATCCTATACGATTTACTCAAATAACTTTAATAATATAATTCTCTATTTAATAATAATTTGAGTAGCAGATCGTATAATATGATTAGTTCAAAAAATAACTCTTCTAATTTTTCTCTCTATCTCACTTCCGTGAGTGCGCGCGTGTGTGTGTATGGTCACTAGACTAGCATACACCTTTATAGAACTTGATTAAAGAAATTGAAAAATATATAAATAAATTTTGCAGACTTTTTTAGCATTCAGTATTCTACCCAATCTTGAGTCTCAAAGCTTCATTGAATGGTGTATGATGTACCTAAAAAGTTAGTACACAGAAAAGAAGATATGCACTACAAATACTAGCAGACATAAATATGCAATCAATATTATTTGTTATCATCAAAATCATAAAATTAGGAGTCCGAGTTATAACAACTTTCCATTAACCAAAACTCTACCAAGCTTAAGGTGAATTGGATTATCCACCTATTGATTAAACCATGTAAAGAAGCTACCTGTAGAAGATAAATCCTAAAGATTTGAGTAGAAAACGAAGTTGTTGAAGGGTGAAAGTCTAGATTCAACAATCACATTCCCTTCCACTTTCTTTGAGAAGAAGTAGCAATCAATTGAAGTCTCCTAACCCTACCCAAGGCATATCATCATGAGGATTGTTTGATCTAAGATCTTCCCATAAAACCTCTCTTTCCTCAAAAGAATTTGAGGCATAAATGACGAGAAGAAGTATGGGAGGTTGTGAGGACACTTTTAGCATACTCAATATCATCTATTTAAAGAAGAAAGAATCAGTAAAACTAATCTTGTCCATATTCCTTTTAATCCATATACGGTCAGAATGAGCCAAGTCAAAATTGTTACAGCTTTGTTCATTATCATAAATTTCATGAATAGAATGAGACCGAGGGTCATTGAGGTTATGAAGGTGAATCCTGAGAGACATATCATATCCAAACGATGATTCCTCACAAGATTTTTGTAGCGAAAAACCTTATAAGGTTTGTTAAAAACTCTGATATTCCAAACCAGATTGGATGAAAGAACATTAGGAACTATGGGTTGAGTTGGGTCCCCTCTTAGAACCCTTTCTTCTAGTGCTTTTTTGTAATTGAGCGATGCCCTCTAAAGATATTTGGTTCTTACTGGTCATGTTGGGAATAAGTTTAGAGGTAGTTTTTTTGGTGCTGAGAGGTAGAAGAAGGGAGGGGAAGAAGAGAATTGCTAGAAGGATGCCTTGAGAAGAGATCACCAATAACCTAAGCGGAAAAAACATTGGAATTGGGGGAATTTTATAGCACCAAAACATTTTTAGGTGATAGGATTTTTGGAGGTATGGGGGCTACTAGTGGATTAGCAGATCCTAATGGAAAATGTTCATCAGTTGGGGAATTTAATTTAGGAAGTAAATGATTATCAGTTGGATGTAATGTAGTTGGGATTTATTCTGGGGCTTAGGGAGGAAGAATTTGGTCAGGCATGGAAGAATTTTGTGGCATGTCAGACATTATGGATTTAGAGGGATTTAGTTGGGTAGCACAAAGAAGGAGAAGGATCCCACATTGATTATGGTAGTGAGGTCTTGGTTTATAACTAGAACTTCTTCCACATTGAGGGCGGGTGAGGAGTTTGGGTTCAGATGTGGGAATTTTGGGTAAAGAAGATATAGAGTTGTTTAAGGATGAATAGTTTTGATGGGGCCTTTGCCTCAATTCATACTGAATTTAGAGGTTAAAAAATTTTCCTTGAACCGATATGGGAACAAAATCTAGGTAAGTAGCAGAGAAATCAACCTGAACACAGACACATGCATATGTTAGATAGGATTTAGAGGCAGTAAGGGAATATACGACAAGAGAGGCACCAATTTTTGTAGTAATTTTGGATATTATAATAGGATTCTAATAGTAGGCCCGAAGATTATAGATCTTTAACCAACTTGGGATGGAAGTGAATTCCTTATGTTTGGGAATGAAATAGGGAGACCACTTCTGGAAAATGAAAGGTTTGTCGAGCTCAAACCATGACCCTTTTGATAAGACCATGTCAAGATCTTCTTGGGAAGAGAACTTAAAAAGAAGAACCCATCACTGAGACAGATCATTTTGAGCCCTAGGTGAACTGTGAATGAAGCCTTCGTATAAGAGAGAGAAAGAATTAATCTGTCAGTACAAGAAGAGGTTTTTTTAGTAAGATTCATAAAATTAGTTTCATTAATGTTGTTGTTTAATCAACAATTAATTTTAGTTAGATTACTTAATATATTATTTTGCTTCTTCATTTAATTGTTCATAAATTTCATAACTAAATAAATAAAAATAATATTGTCATAAAAATAATTAATATTAATTACAATAATAGTTATAATAGTAAGGTTATTATTATTAATGGAAATAAAAGTAAAAATAAATAAATAATAGTAATAATAATATTAATTATAATACTAATAATGATGATAATAATAATAATATTATTATTATTTATAGCAATTCTAATAGTGCTTTTAACTTCAATAATTAAAAAAGTAATAATAACTATAATAATTTTATTAATAATAATAGTAATAGTAGGAATTCTTCCAATGATTTAACCACATGGCCAAAGTGCTTTGCAAAATTATACATACCTTTGTGGGACCCGTGGTAAAATAATTGAGGGAAATTGTTAAAAGAAATAAAAACATGAAAATTTACTATGTTGCACTACGTACTATAATATTACAAATAGCATTAGGGTGAGTGAAGCCATTCATATGAACGAGAAGAAGAATTAATTCTTTAGCGTGTTAGTCTAATTTTTTTTTTGTTTTACATTATTCTTTCTTGAATTAAAATTGCATCACTTTATGATTTTTTAAAAAATTCAAAGATAAATGTATGAAAAAAAATCAAGTGCAGTGATGCTGGACTTTTGGAGCGTCATGATATTTAAGGCAAAATTTTGACTAGAAGATAGAATGTAAAGTGCTACAGCGTAGAGGTTCTTAGCGCCGTTCAAGCACCACAGTCCCAAAACTTCACAACACCATAGTGTTGACCAGAGCACCAAATATCTAGAGCACCATGGTGAAGTAGCTAATTCAATTATACTCACAAAATGACATGTCAGTTTGAATTGATTGGCGTAGTGGTAGTTCAATTAAGGAGCACTGCTGTTCTACCACTTTGAATGTCACAGTGTTAGTGAAAATAAATTATATTTTATATAAATAGCATTCCCAAATTATTGAAGGTGGTTGTCCAATTTTATCTATTATACTTAGATCTAGGTAGGGTCTAGTAAGAGTGTGAATGTGTGAGCAAGGAGGGAATGGTCATAGGGAAGGGAGCCTTGTATTAGATTTTGCAAGAGAAATCTAGTTCTACCTTTTCTAAACTCTAGTCTTGCATTTATTTTATCTTCACAATGAAGCTTCTTATGTTTATATTAATTGCAATGTTAGGCCAACTTGTTCTTTGGACTTATGATTTGATAAGAATGCATGTATTATATAGAATTGGTCTAAGTTTTTAACATTTTTTAACTGTTATTTATAGTTCCCCTAAACTTCATTAGTTTGTGTATAGGCCATACACAAAATTAAAACTTAGTATGATCAAGATCGTCAATGTAGGAGTATTAGAATAATTAAGGATACTAAAATGGGATTTTTCACTCATAGGCATATGCTAAATAAGTCATGGGATTGTTAAGGAGATAATATAACTATGATAAAGTTAGGTTGTGTTAAGAATCTAATAAATTCGACAAACAAAAGGAGCCATATATGCTTTAAGTCATAGTACATATTAGGATAGACCTATCTATGTACACATAATTTCTTATGTCATAAGCTTCTTATCAATTGAACATAGAATGTCTTCCTAGTTGATTAGTGGTAGTTTACTTTCGGTAAGCACAAACTTATTAAATTGTGTGATAACATAAATCTAGAAAAAAAAAGGTAGATCTAAATTAATACTAAAATCATTATAATCCTAATAGGAAGGATACTTGACTCACCTTGATATTACCTAAAATGACATGTGTACCTGCGTATTGTCCATTATAGCTCACAAGTCTACAGTGAAGTGTTACATCAAGTTTTTTTCTCTATTGTTGGGGATTTTATAATGTTGTTTATTATTAATTTTATATTATTTTATGAATTATTGATTTATTCTTATTTTTTATCATGTTTAAACTATTTTGTTTGTAAGGTTGCATGTTTTATTGCATTATATATTGAAGTGGGTGTAGAAGTGCTTCTTGTTATGATGATTATTAGTGTATTTACTTTTCAAACTTTTGTAATTTTACTTTAGTTGTTAACTGATATAGTTTTCAATCTCTAGTTTTTTGATTTATTACATGCATAGGAGAAACTTCTTCGAAGCACCAGTGTTTGATTCTAAAAATGAAAAAAAAAACTATTTAAAAAATTATAAAAGATTTAGAAATAGCAAATTCTATTCATGAGGATGGCCAACCTAGACTCTTAAAAGATTATGTTAATCCATTGGTAGATGTCATTCATGAGAGCATTAATAGACCCAATATTCAAGCAAATAATTTTAAACTTAAACCCCATGATTATTCCAATGGTGTAAAATTTGTAGTTTAGGGAAACTCTTGTTGGGGGTCGAAACCTTAATATTATAAGCTTTTAGAAATTTTTGTAATTTTTAAGTAAGATAGAATCTCTGATGATGCTATTAGACTTAGGTTGTCCCCTATTATTTAAAACGAAAGCAAAAGTATGGCTGAATTATGTACACCCAAGCTCTATTACTACCAAGAATGACCTTGCCCATAAATTCTTAGAAAAATTATTTTCCTCCATCTAATGCAGCCAAGTTAAGAATGATATTTCATCTTTTACCCAATTAGATGGGGAATTTATTTATGTGGCATGATAAAGTTTTAAAGAACTATTTAAGAAATGTCCACATCATGCATTACCAGATTGGTTGATAATACAAACTTTTTATATTTTAGTAGTAGGTTCTTTTATGTTAATCATAGTAGCTACCACTGGAGGTTCGTTGTTGTCCATATTCTTTAATGAATCTTAAGCTTTAATTTAGGAGATTACAAGTAATAAATTCTAATGGCCTTCTGATAGAGTCAACCTCAAGAAAGTTGCTGTTGTGCATGAGAGTATGCATTATTTATCTTGACTTCTTGGATTGCTAACATTTTTAGGAAGTAATGCAACCTAGGAGTTTTTTTCAACTAAGTGAGCACCTATGTAAGTAGATGAAAATCTATATGGACCCTCTAATGACCCTAGTTTATCAAACATAGAATTTTTAAATATAATTAATAATAGGTAGAACAACGCTAACTCTAAAACTGATAACCTTGCTGGATAAATCACCCAAATTTTAATTGAAATAATAATCAAAATGGGCATAATAATTGGATTAATACCCAACCAAATGATGTAGAAATTTGGAATAAGTCTAAACCTAACTTTGGAAACCCTATGCCTAGTTATCATCTATAAGGATACGAAGCAACCATTAGAATACTTAGGCATTTAGATGGGGATCCAACTTTAGAATCAAGAAATTGCTATTAGATACATAGAAATCTTATTAGGTCAGTTGGTTAATTCACAAAACACTAGACCCCATGGAACTTTTCCTTGTAAGACTAAGGTTAATACGAAGGATAAGGGTAAAGAGCAGTACAAAGCCATTTAATTGAGAAGTGGTAAGGAGATAGAAGAGATACTTGATTGAAAGATAAGCTAAATGAAGAAAAGATTGAGGTAACACCAGTAGAATCCACCCAACTCATAGAACGACCCAAGCCAATTGTAAAAGCGAAAAAAAAACACATAAGGAAGGTTATAAAAAGACCACCACCATCATTTCCCTAGAGACTTATGAAGAAAAAATTGGATATATAATTCTCTAGATTTTTAGAAGTGTTTAAGAAATCAAATTTTAAGATTACCTTCTCAAAATTCTTAGAGCAAGAACTTATTTAGGCCAAGTTTATGAAGGACATCCATAGCAACAAAAGGAATGTACTTTTAAAACTATTACTCTCTCTAAAGAGTGTAGTACTATTTTATTGAAAATTTTTTCTTGAATGTGGATTTACCATTCCTTGTGCTATAACTGAAAAATTCTTTAGAAGAGCTTATATGATTTAGGGGAAAACATTAATTTTTAAGACACTTGACTTAAGAGAAGTACAACCCACTACTGTTACCCATATGTTATCACATAGATCTTTTAATTACCCTAGTTTGGTGTTTAACATTGTGTTGGAAAAGTGGATAAGATCATATTTATAGCTTGGAGGAAGATAAAGAGATACCAATCATTAAGGGAAGACCTTTTCCATCAATTAGAAGGGTGATGATATATGTTTAAAATGGCGATTTCATGATTCAAGTAAAGGATGAAGAAGTGACCTTTAATGTCTTGAAGTCTATGTATTTCCCAGAGATCCTAGTGAGGCTCAATGCTATAGATATGATTTGGTGGAGAGTTTTATGGGGGATTTAATGGAAGAGATGTTGATTGTTGATTTGTTAGAGCATTCTTTGATAAATGATCAGATATGGGAGTGTAGTAGAGCTATGGATTTTTAATTAAATGATGCCTCAAGAGTTTTTTAGGAGAGGTATGAGCCATTAGACACATCATTCTTAGGGATATCCTTAAGATCTTTAATCTTAGAAGCACCAGCCTTAAATTTGAAATCTTTTCCAGTACATTTGATGTATGCATTTTTAGATGATGAATCCACCTTACCCATTTCAATTTTTGCTGATATGGAAAAACATCACTAGGGTAAGTTGAAAAGGGTTCTAAGGACCTATAAGAAACCACCTAATTAGATGTTCGCTGACATGCAAGAGATTAATCTATCGTTGTGTATGAATAAAAATTTGATGGAATAAGACTGTTGCAATCCAGAAGCCCGACTATATGTTTTGATGATTTAAAATCTTATTAGATGTTTCATTTACTATTCCAGCATAACATTTTAAATATTTTATTTTTTGTGCTTCTAACCTTTCTAGTACAACATACACCAAGAAAAAATTGAAGAATTGGCTCAATATATTATAGCATTAGGATAAAAGTTAGCAAGAATGTTAAAGAGTATGTATTTTTTATTTTCATGAGTATATTTCTATATTAGGTGTTTGTTGGCTTAACAATTATACATACACATATATGGTGGTTAAAATTGAATGTTTTAATTTTTCTATTTATAATACTATACGATCTATTCCAATAAAAAATAATTAAAATATTTAATTAAATTATATTAATTAAAATTGGCACATAACAAATCGTACGATACGATTTACATATCATACATGACGATCAAGTATATTAAGAAACACCACTATCAAATCCTAATTACTTAAAATAGGCAAATTTAAAATTTGAGAAATTGAACTAATCATATTATACAAAATACCTCATACTGTAAGATATTTAATTATGCTTGCCTAATTTAAATATGATAATTAAGAAATTAAGTTAGATATGAATTAATTATAGATCATACTATGAGATACATATATCGTAAAACCCAATCCACCCGAGAGCTCTCCGAACATACTTTGGTTCATACTATAAGATCTAATTTTTTTTATTTGAACTAATCATAATGGATGGTTTCTAATCATACATGATGATATTTGATGGCATTTGAAGTAATCATACTATATGAATAGAGGTTGTTTAATTAAAATTTATGATTTTGAGAGACCACTTTATAAATTTATTTGTAACATGAGAGAACATGTTTTTTGGCATCGAGAGCATTTTTACTTCTATGAAAGAGCTTGGAGAGAGTCCACAAAGTAAAAGGAGTGAGATGAGGTGAGGTGAAGAGAGGGAGAAGAGTCTTGAGGGCATCAAGGAAGTGTGAGGGGGTCCACATAGTTTCTTAAGGTGACTTGCACCTTAGGTTCTCTAGTTTCTATTTTTAAATTTAAAATTTTTGTAAAAGAAAAAAAAGGCCTCTAGTTTCTACTTATATGAACATCTTGGAGGAGATATCTTAGATTTTAGAGCAAAAGACTATAACTAGCTGAGGATACTAGGAGCAACATCTCCATTAAGAGTGGGAGTAAAAGGAGGATTGACATCTCCACTAAGCTTGAGGACAGAAAGTGTTTCATTATCTTTGTCGGGTCAATAAGGTAAGAGGAGGAATTGACATATTTATTGGGCTTGCAGGAGAAAGGAGTGATGAGTGATCTACCTATTTAAGGAGGTGGGAGGAGGAGATTCTTTTGTTGGAAAGAGTTAGGGTGATTCTCGGCCTGGTCAAGAGAGAATGCTTCTCCGTCTAGTTGTGTGCTGAAGGAAAGACATATATAGTGCAAATTCCAATGTTTATGATGTTATAATAAGAAAGCATGACCTTATGTTTTGATGATTACAAATGTTATTGGATGATTATCAACTTATTCATGCATAATATTATGGATATTTATTTTATACGCTACTAACTTTTCAAGTAACAACATAAACGAAGAAATACTGAAGATTCATGCTCAAGACTATGTGTTGTGAGTGTTTATATTAGACTATGTATTGAAGAGTTTGTACTTTTCTTGAGTCAATGTATATAAAAAGGTGTATGCTAGCTTAGCAACCTTATATACATACAAGAGGAGTAAAATATAAAGATTTTAATTTTTCTGTTAAATTTTACTATATAATCTCAATCATACTATACTATGTGTTGAAATAACATCTTTATAACTTCTTTAAGCAAAAAGAAAATCCTCTTTTTAAATCCTTTTTAAAATATATGAAAATATCAATTTTATCTCTTGATATGGAAGCATATTAATTTTATAATAATAACAAAAAAAGAGTTTTCAACCATAAATAAAATAAAAGTGTGTAACTTAAAATGTGGAAAAGTAAAAAAATGAACACACCAAGTTTTATAGCGGTTTGGTGAAATTTGACCTACGTCCACTACCCGGATGCCTCCGCTTAAGGTTGTGCACTAAACCTTTTAGTTTCTTTTCTTTAGCCCCCACAGTTAGGTAGATAAGCCCTTATAAAATCTCTTCCACCAACCCGATGCGTTAGAGTACCTTAAATCTTTTTCACCCTCTTGGTAAAGGTAGAGAACTTGAAATCATTTTTCTCCTTCCTGGAAATGGTAGAGAACCAAGAATACTTTTACTCCCTCCTAGAGGTTGTAGAGAACCATGATCTAGTGCTGAGGAATGTTCCCCAGAGAATCAAAGAAGAGACTTGAAGAAGATTAGAAGGAACTTTGCCTCGAGTATCCTTGTGAAGCTCTCACAACTTACCCTCACAAGAACTCTCCTTTTCTTCTCTCCCAATGCTCTCCTCAACTCTCTCTTTATGGTCCCTCTCAAGTAATTCAATAGCAAAACATTTCTTACAAGATAATGTTGGAGTTTAAATAAAAAGCATCCAAAGAAGCCATAAATTTTAATTTACCATCAAAGATCATCCCGTACGATCATTAGATCATCTTGTATAATTATTAAAAATTATCACTATTAGACAGTATGAACTATTTTTTTATATATAATCAATTCAAGAGATTGTAATGATCATCTCATACGATCCTTTGATCGTATTGTATGATTAGTTCAAAGACTATATTGATCATCTAGTATGATAAGTGATGATAGGAGGCAATTAAATATCATCCCATGCATCTCTCAGGTTATATAGTACGACCATCCTGTATGATGTGATTGAGTAATTAAACCATAATTAGTCTCCTAATCATAGGATCAATTTAGGTATGATTGTCACAAATCATACAATACGATGTATATCATACTATACGTTTAGAGCACATTTTGAATATTAATACTTTTCCAAAATTATGATTGGCAGCTGAATATTGCGATTATACTTGATCATCCTATATGATTATGATCATATAGTATGATTAGTTTAATTAATCTCAAATAATAAA